CCGGACATGTCCGGCTTTTTGGAATTTCCCCCCAGACGGAGATTTGATGACCAAATATCCGGACATATGGTAACCCTAGCGGGAGCTGGCCACAGGTGCCGACCCCTGGCCCTGGCTGCACAGCAGCGAGCGCTGACTCCAGCCACGCAGTTGCGGAGTCCAATCCCTGGCTCCAGCCACACAGTTTCTGTCCCCAGCTCCAGGTTCTGCCTGCAGACACTGAGCCCTGGCCCTGGCCACATGGCAGAAGACACCAGGCCCTGGCCATGCAACAGTGGGGCGCATCACCACTTCCATCACCCTTCGCGAGGGGGGGGGGGCGGTTGAGAGAGCGAGGGCGAAGAGGGAGGCAGCATTATTTTTGTTATTGAATCTGCCAAAAACCCTACAAATATACATTACAATGATTTGGATGTGAATTTGTACGTATTTAAATGTTTTTCCTAAAGTTAATTAAGTATTTTAGGGGAAAAGTGTCAGTGCGGCCCTAGCTGGTCCTTAAAGGCCATTTTGAAACTGCAAAGGTTCAGTTTTGACAGCTCTCATGATTTTATCATAAGTCTCATATTCGATATTCTACTTAAAGTGATCACAGGAGACTCAATTTAGCTTTGTTTCTTACATTTCTTAGCCCTCGTAGTTACAGAGAAACCCTTGAAAACGTGACAAGTAAATCCTAAAAGCTCAAAAACTAGAAGGCAAATAAGAACACTGCTTTAAATCTCATCATTTTTAAACCAGTCTCATGATCTGTGAGGGCCTGACTCATGAGTTTTGAATAGTTGGGGTTGGCAAAACTGAAGTTTGAACACTGTATTTGGGATTTGGTTTGCATTAGGGAAAAATGCTGTTACCTCTTCAAATCGGTTTTACCGCGTGCTTTTTTATGAGTCCCTAAGGACTTCCAGCTAGTTCAGGAAAGCAATAAGAGCAAGCCAAAAGTCAGTGTCTAAGTACATCTGTATCTTGTAAACAATGCTCATGGGAAGAAAGTTTTCTATTTCTCCTTACTCTGTATTTTCCTCTCCTCTCCTTCTCGTATCTGTTTACGATTAGCTGTCTCATTTATATTCTAAATTCACTGAGGGCAGGAACCATGTTTTATTATTTTTCAGTGTCTAAAACACCTATGGTATTAGATAATAAAATGATACATGACACCACAGGGTCAACCCACTGACAGGAGCCAGGGATGAAAGCAACAATTAAATATAGCTTTCACCCACCTGGATCCTCTTCTTATGGGAGAAGAGTGGACAGAACTACATGCTGCTACCACCACCAAAGACCAGCTGCTGGCAGTTGCCCAAAGACCAGCATACATAAATCTGTGTATGACAAAGAATGCAATTCTGCTACATGGTAAGAGAAATACAGCAATATGAATCTCTTACAGTGCATGTCCTATCTTGCAAAAAATGATATTTCTCAACAGTATTTTAACTTACTGAAGACAAAGCAAACATCTCAAATCTAATACCTGAATACGAAGTTTAATTATGACAAGTTTTTCATGTTTTTAAAAGTTGAATATGCATCTAGAAGACCTTAGCATGTTATACATCCAAGAAATAAATCAGCAAGACTTACATCTAAAATAGATACTCTATAACTGTCCCAACAAACACTGATTCCCCTAAAAGCTTAATTCTCTCTAGTTCATTGCCTTTTCTTAAATGTTTGTCCATCTAACGAGGCAAGATTACAAAACTCCCTGCTGCTTTCTGAATTAATATTGTGCTCCTGAATTTTACATTATGAATTAACATGTCACCAATAAGCATCTATATTAGGGCTATCAAACGATTAATAAAATTAATCACAATTAATCATAAAAATAAAACAATAGTCTGTGATTAATTGCAGTTTCAATCGTACTGTTAAACGATAATAGAATAACATGATTTAAATATTTTTGGTGTTGAGGGGGAAGTGTGGGGAGGGAGAATTCTCTCTTTAAGCAGAGCACTCAGGGGCCTGAATCCTTTTTCAGCCAGTAGCAGCTGCTGTCGGCAGCATTCACTCCTGAGCCAGCATCAGACAGGCTCCCACTTTACCCTGATCCCAGCTCAGCAGCGGCTGGGTACATGGGTGGTGATAGGGGGACACGCCGACATCAGCCTCGCTGCCCCCACTCTGCGCAGCACACAAGAGGCAGGCTCCCAGTCCAGAGCAGGTTGGCCTGGGGCGTCTCCAGGGAGGGGAGGAAAGGGAGGCTGAGGCAGATGTGGACCGGACCAGCTGGAGAAGGGGCTACTCTGCCCAGAAGCCATGCAGCGGCGTCCCCTAGCACGGCATCCTGGTGTGTTATTAACGCTCATTAAAAAAAAACATTAATTTGTTTTGAGTTAATCGTACGCATTAACTGCGATTAATTGACAGTCCTAATTATTATTTTTGATTAGAAATATTTGCACTGTAAGGAAGATAAAAAAGATAAAAGAAGTTGAAGCATGAAAGGACGTACAAATGTTTATTACATCTGGCATGTAAATACCTTGCGACACCAGTTACAATAGTGCCATATGAATGCCTGTTCTCACTTTTAGGTGACATTGTAAATAAGAAGCAGACAGCTCTGCCATAAATGTAAACAAACTTGTTTGTCTTAGCAATTGGCTGAACAAGAAGTAGGACTGAGTGGACGTGTAGGCTCTAAAGTTTTATACTGTTTTGTTTTTCAGTGCAGTTATATAAAAAAAATTCTACATTTGCAAGTTGTACTTTCAAGATAAAGAGATTGCACTACAGTACTTGTATGAGGCGAATTGAAAAATATTCATCTTTACAGTGCAAATATTTGTAATAAAAAATAATAATATAAAGTGATCACTGTACACTTTGTGTTGTAATTTAAGTCAATATTTGAAAATGTAGAAAAACATCCAAAAACATTTATTATAAATTTAAATTGGTATTGTATTATTGTTTAACTGTGTGATTAAAACTGCAATTAATCACAACTAATATTTTTAATCTAGTTGATTTGTTTTGCATTAATCGCTTCAGTTAACGGCAATTAATTGACAGCCCTAATCGATACATACCGCAGAGTGAATGTTAAATTGTGAATTAAAACTCTGTTGTTCTGGCATACACAAGCGTAGCATTTACTTAACTGTTATTGCTGTTTTCAAGAGTTTTAAAGCAGGGTGTTTAGTTGATTCATTATTTTCAGTTCAAATTCAGTTAGAACGCAAGATGAAAACAGCTTTTTTTTTTTCTTTTTTAACTACAAAAATCAAATTAGGTAAGCAGGTCCAACATTCACCCATCTTCCCATTTCAGCCTTTGTATTCCTGACTGGCAGGTAAAATATTTATCTACTTCCCTTGAAACACTTTTAGTGCTTTGGCAACTGATTGCAAAGGAATGTAGGCACCTTGCCAAGTTGTCTGCTTTGTACTGAAACAGGAGCAAAGAAGGAAAGCCTGTATACAGTGGAAAGGTTTAACCTGTTCTCCTGCTCCCCCACACTTTCAGATGCTTTCATGTGGCACAATACTGCTTAATGCTTTCCAATAAGCAAATAATTCCTCAGAACTCAAAATAAGGGGGGAGCAAAGAGGAGGGACTGCACTGTGGCACCTTATCACATTTGAGCTGTAATCACTGTATAGCCGAACAGTGAAAGAGGACAAAAGTCCACAGCTACTAAGATTTCCTCTGTACAATAAAAAATGCTCTACTACCTCAATAAGGAACCAATAATATTTTCTAAATCAATGGAAGTGAGAAAAACTATGTTGGAAAAAATACATTTATTTTGGCTAATATACTAGTCGCTTATTTAAAAAAATGAGTAAAATCATCAGATCAGTGACTTTCTAAATAGACTTCATTCTTATGATGGCTTCAGCGAGGACACCCATTTAAGAGAATTCTAAATTAAACAATGTCAATAAAACTGGTTCAGATTAGTTACATTTAAGTTGTACATTCTCAAATCTATAACTAAAGCTTTGTGCAGATTCCTTGATAATCAAATAAGAGTATGTGCTGAGTGTAGCAATGAAAAAGGTATAATGAACTCTACCTTTTGCTTTCTAATCTATCACACTTCTATAAAATCATCATATTTATTTAAACTTAATAGCTTTTCCAGTATAAAATGTAACTAGTCATGGTATGTTAAGTGGCTGGCTGGCTTGCTTCCTTGCAAGAACCTCCTAAATGTGGCACTAATATTTACACATAATGAATGTACTCAGTCTGCACTTGATCTTTGGAACCAAAGTACAAACTCTGTTTATTTATGTTGTTCTCTCTTCTAGAATACCTACTATCACTTCGCATAAGTAAGCTTGTCCATCAAAAAAACAAAACCAAACAAAACCAAAAATCCACACATTTGTTTAGGGTTTCCTGGGATTTATATAGTGCTAAGATGGAGGTTGGATGAAACCTCGTGATAGTTATCCTTCTTTCAAACTAAATGTAGGAAGCAGGTAAGCACCTTTATGAACTAATATGGCTGAAATATTACGAGTCCCCACCCAAAGCACAGGTCACATGAAAGGACAAGTCAGAAATTGATCTTTGTGGTCAGAGGGAGTCTTGCTACAGGCTAAATGCAAATACAGGGAGATCGGGTATTTTTTGGTGAAGCTGTGAGTACATCTACAGGGAAAAAAAGAAAAGAAAAAAACCCCCAAAACCTAGAGCAGCAAGTCTCAGAGCCTGGATCAACTTATTCAGACTTGCACTATAGGACTAACATAGCCGCGTAGACATTCCCATTTCTGCTGAAACCTGGCCAGGGAAAGAGTCTCAGAGCCCGGGTTCCAGCACAAGCAGCCTACAATGCAAGTTTCAGACCCATAGCACAAGCCTGAGTCAGCTGACCAGGCAGGGCCAGCCCATAACATTTTGGCACCTGAGGCGGGGAGCTCAAATGACGCCCCCATGTCCCCTCACTTCGGCCAAAACTTTGAAAGGTCTCAATTCTGCCTTCTTCCTGTTCTACTCCTCTCATGGTACTGCTCTGCTACCTACCCCAATAAAGGAGAACTAACAACTTAAAATGCCTTGTTGAAAAATTAACACTTAACTTTCAAACACCTGAACAGCAAATGTAACTTTTCTTGTCTGCATAGTAAACACTGGTATTTTTATCTGTTTGAATAATCAAAGTGGTACTTTCCATGCTGTCACGGAGTGTGGGGGGATTCAGGGCCCTGCACCCCCGGCTTCCTGCGATTCACCATGACTCTCAGCAAGCCAGTAAAGCAGATTTATTTAGACGACAGGAATACAGTCCAAGACAGGTCTTGCAGGCACAGACAACAGGACCCCCCTCAGCTAGGTCCATCTTGGGGTCCCAGGGCACCCCAGCCCCCTTGGGAGGTCAGAGCCCCGTCTGCCTCCCAACCATATCACCAGCCAGCTCCTGAAACTCCCCCTTCAGCGACCCCTCCCACAGCCTTTGTTCAGTTTCCCGGGCAAAGGTGTCACCTGGCCTCTAACCCCTTCCTGGGTTCTCATGTTACATGCTCAGGTAGCTTCCCTCGGTCAGTCTCCCATCCCCCAATGCAGGCTATCCTAGCCACACTCCCCTGTCAGCATTCAAAGACCACATTAAGAACAGTCCCAGTTCGTCACACATGCCTTCTTGGTTGCAAAGATTTGAACCACTTCCTAAAGGTCCACAGTCTGGGCCAGCTCATGCTCTATTGAGATGGTTGCAAGGCCAACCAGCCTCTCCTGTGTCACTGTGGAGCGTAGAAGTGTTTTTATTAACTTCAGCATAGAGAAGCTGCTTTCTCCACTGGCAACTGTTACAGGAAGTGTTAGAAGTATGCGCAGAGCAACAAAAGCATGTGGAAAGAGGGTGGTCATCTTATTTGGGCACATATATTCCAGAACAGTCTTTGGAGTTGATCCTGCTGAAATGTATCTTGAAAGGGCTTTCAGTTCCTCATCTAAATCACTCGCATCAATATCACGCATGTCATCATGTGTCAACACTGACTCTAGTGCCCTGCATTGCTTCAGGTAGAGTGAGGAGTTTTGGAATATCATACAACATCCCAAATATACTGCTGTGTTCCTTGAGCTGCATGAAACATTCTTCAACTGACTGTATTGCACAATCTAGCACCTGGTTAAATAATTCAACTTTGAATTGTTGTTTGGGGTCTCTTATGGGATTATCCCGTGCCTCAATCAAAATGTCTTCTTCTTCGGTGACTCTTGTATTCTTGAATGGGTGGGAAAATAGCTTCAGTGTGAAGTCCTATGCCAACTTCTGTGCACTCTTCAGAACGTTTCCAAATCCCTCATCTGACCAGTCAGATTTAGGTATGACTTTGCTTTGTCCAGTTGTTCCATTGCTCCAGATATATCAAGGTCAACACCTTGGAGTCTCTTGCTTACAATATTTATTTCAAACAGTATGTCATGCCACAACATTAAGCCACACAGAAATTTGAGGTTATGTATGTTTCTGGTGATTCCATTTCCCTCTGCCACTGTTCTCCCATGAACAGTTCCTGTCATAGCATTATCCTCCATAATGACAACTATGGCATCATTTATCTTCCCAATTTGGTGTTTGATAGGCTTTATCACCTCCATTCAACTTTCCCATCGTGTGGCACTCAGTGGTTTCAGTGTCAGAGAGGATATTCCCAGATGTTTCAAAATTTGCCATCGATGAGTTGATGCAGAGAGAAATACATAGATGCTTTGAATTACATTAAAAAATTCAGCAGCCTCACTAGAAGCTCATGATGCATCACTGACCACCAAGTTCAATGAATGAGAACTACATGGGCCAAAAAAAGCTTGAGAGTGTATTTCTCAGATCCGTGTCTGCACTCCTCTGTTCTTTCCTGTCATGTTGGCACCATTATCGTAGCCCTGACCTCTCATGTCAGCTATCGCAATTTCCCATATCTTCCAGCTTTTTAAGAAGCACATTTGTCACACCAGCTCCTGTAGTATCATCAATGTCAATAAATTCTAGAAAATGCTTTCTGACAGTCACCATTGCAGGGACATTTTCACTAGGTTCTGTTGTTGTTACAAAATGCACCAGGTATGCAGGTGTGCAGTCCAGAATAACAGAGTAATATCTTGCTGACTTCAGAACTGCCACAATCTTCTGTTTGACTTTTGTTGCCAGTAACTGTATGATCTCATTTTGAATTGTTTTTCCAAGGTAGTGGTGCGTGTACATTTCTTGGGTGGTGACTCTTAGATGCTCCTGGAGTACAGCATCAAACTCAGCCATCAGCTCCACAATTTTAAGGAAGTTTCCATTGTTTGACACATACAGCTGATCTGAAGTGCCACGAGTGCTAAGTTTTGGGTAGCAAGCATTCTCACAATGGCAATGAGCCTTTTCAGAACATTTTGCCAGTAAAGAGCCT